TTTTCTAAGCCCTTCGCCAGGATAGAGGTCAGGCTGATGGGCCTATAGTTTGCTGGATCCACTTCCCTCCCTTTCTTGAAGATGGGTGCCATGTTGGCCTTCTTCCAGTCATCGGGCACTTCACCAGAGTGCCAGGAGCTCTTGAAGATCCATGCCAGGGGCTGAGCTATGATGCTCGCCAACTCCTTGAGTAGTCTGGGGTGTAAATTGTCAGGGCCGGCTTACTTGAAGGTGTCCAGCCTCTCAAGCTGTTCCTTCACAAGGTCAGCGTTGATGGAGGGCAAGGAACCACCCTCACTTAGGCATCCCCTAATTCCCAGGATGCATCTCTTCACTGTCTGGCAGGGAACCATCTCTTCTCAGACTTAACGGGTCAGGCAGGGGCCTCTTTCTGCAGGCCAGGACTTCGATTCCCAACTAAGATTCTAGCTCATCCACCTTAGGTGTCATGGCAGCAGCCTGCAGAAAACTCCTCTGAACTAGCTGTGCCAGTATAATGCGCTACCCTGGTTGTGCTGGTACCCTATTTGGCTCTTGGATGGAGGTTCTCCTCTCCCCTTTATACTTTAAGGAAAAATAGAGGATCTTAATCCTCTTCGACATGTGTTGCCAGTCCCAATCTTCAGATGAAGAATATCAGCAGTCAAAGAAACAGGCACTATGACTCCCTGAGCAACATGCATCATCTGTTGGGGATCTTTGTCCCTTCCTGATGAGGAGGTCTCTAGCTCTTGTACCAGCCCCAGGTAACTTAGAACAGCTTCTGTAATGCTTCCTTACTGCTGCAACTTACAAAGAAGCAACTCCAACAATAAAAGAGAAAATTCATAAGCTTTATATACTGTGGTGTTTAGCTTCTGGCTGGATAACTCGCCCAATAAATTAGGGCATTCTAGCTCTAGTCAAGACACCAATTCTATCACAAGCTGCAGTCCTGGTACCTGTTTTTTCAGTACAGGGCTATACAAGAACATATGGGGAAGAGTGCCCCTCCCCACTTCTCCTTTTAACTCTGTACCTGATTCTCGTGTAATCATGGTCTGATTGGGGTGCATGCCTCGACTACCTACAGGAGACTTGGTTACAAGACGCATGTTCCAGAACTACAGGCGGTTGGATTAACTTGCCTCTGGTGTTCCAACCTGCTTCACAGAACTCCACCAGGCAGGCTTTCTCAGATAACACATCCTTAATTGTAATATCCAAACAAATGAGATGCTAGCCTACTCTTCACCTCATGTAAGAAGATGATCAGGTTATGGGTATGATGTCAACACCATGGGATATATGCTCAAGAGCTTTTCTTCTAGGAATCAGCATCTCCCTGGCACACTTCTTGAGCAGCAAATACCAGTTGCTCTACCATCATAGCAATTTTACAGTTGTGGGGAAATTCCACTATAGACTTGGTTGCCAGCTAAGACAATACAAGGTGTTCAGTTCTAGGAAAGCATGAGGATGGGGTCATTATAAAATGCATTGCTTGTGCTATGGGAATCAAGCCTCTTGTCTGTTTGTACTGGTTCTTTTTGTTCCTGGGAAAGGCTGTGTACCAGAATGACTGACTGGCTTTTCAGAATGGTATCATTATGGATACAGGGACCTTGCCTTCATCCCTTTGTCTTGGATTCTGAACTAGTGAAGGAACTAAATGATAGGTGTGCTGCCCTGCTTTTCAGGCCTGTGGGGGAAGGCAAGAGGGCAAACTTAACACAGGTCTCAGCAGATGTTGTTTAAAAACTTTCGCTATTGCCTATGCATGTGATAATAGCTCAAAAAACACAGTTACTATGGGATAAATAACAGTTCCTTATTTGGAGACCAAGACAGTTTTCTACCATATGAAGCCTGCTAAGATCAAATACAGATTCATCTTTCTGAGAAACACAGTGAAAACTCAGTGGGGACAAATTAATAAGAGGCAGGTAAAGGTTCCTGTGTGAAGTTATAACACATGAGTAGCTGCTGTATTCTGTATATTAGCTCTTCTGTTGTTGCTTTTGAGAATGTGACCTGGCTAGTAATCGGTGTGTGTCCAGTTTTCTGCATAAATATCCTAATTAATCCTTTTTAAAAACTTTTCCAGGTTGTCCGTCAGATGATGTGGCTGATGGATCATATATTTAAGTATACAAACTTTGGCATTGTATCTCTAATCCATGGAGACTTCTTTATAAGACAGGTAAACAGTAAATATATAGCAGTACTGTCATTGCATTGGGGCTCAGTTTTTCCCTTAAGCCATTTGGTTGCAAAATTTCAATGTCGTGTCTAGAAACTTCATTATGCCTCTCCTATTAGTGAGAATTACTAAGTGAAATCCCTGTGCTGGAAATATTTTTGCTGGGGAACAGGGTTTTTATAGAAGGTTAAAATATTAATAATAATTGCCTCAGTAACTTACTCTTTAACATTTTATATTATATGGTAGTGCCAATAGCCATTAACCTGACTGGGGTCCTGTTAGGATAATTTACTTTACAAATATATTAACCTGGGTAAAATCATGTTCAAGTTGTCTTGCAGGCTAAAAAAAGTACTAGAAAAAGTTCCACTTGATAATAGCTCAGTTTTGGGGCCCACATCGTCCAACTGTCAGTCCAGACTTACCTCGGGCATCTTTCCTCCACTCCCTTCCCCCACTCTCAAAAATCTGTTGGCATCCATTCATGCCTACCCAGTATAGGGTGCATTGCTTTTGGTTTGTAGGAGGGAGAAAATGAGATTTTATTTGAGGGCATACTGAGTCTTAATTGCAGAAACTTTTTTTTCCATAATTTATCCCACCCACACCTTAAATAACTCATTAATTTTGATAATGAATATATTGTACATGATTGCATTTGCAATTGGTATTTAAATATAATTGTGTAAATGTGGGAATGTGCATATATAGTAAATCCCATGTGAACAACCATGTAAGTGACAGGAGATGTTTATATTATTGGGTTCTGGTAAAACTCAGAGTATCGGCAATTTTTAAATGGCTACTGCTGTTGACTCCAGTTAAATTATGTCACTTCAAACCATCTGAGAATCGCTCAGAAAGCTTGTCCTACCTTCCCATCTCATTTGAAAGTTGGGAGATTTGTAGTTGAAGACCCACATCTCAAGCTTGCACTTGCTCCCTCTAAGGCAGTTATAGGCAAGTTTTTCTGGCTCCAGGCCAAAATGACCTACTTTTGGGTCAGAGTCAGTTGGATACTCATGCTAGGACCTGGCTTCATTGCTTATGTTTGCAGTAATGCTGTCGACCCTCCACCCCCTACCAAATGCTGCTGTAGGCACAGGTGTGCCACTGAAGCCACACATCTGCAGGCCAGATCCAGTGGTACTTGAGGCAGGATTGGGTCCATAGGCCAAGTGGTAGTAGGTTGGTCCATAGGTTGCCGACTCCTGGTCTAAGAGGTTGGAGTGGCTCCAGCAGGGCTCTTCCCAAGTGGTGGTTTAAGACCTACATCTCAATCTGTTACTTTACCACTGCTAGCATTAAAAGCAGGACTTGTTTTTAAAAGTTGTTTAATAAATGAAGAAAGAACTTTTGTAAAGACAGTCTCTTCTTGAGGCTGTATTAGGTCATCAAAGAGAATTGGTAAAGGATAGAAGCACAATTACTTTCTACCTGGCATTTCAGGTTTAATAACTGCCTATGTCCCTAAGCTAGCTGGTTTTTTTTGGTGCCAACTCTTCAGCTTACTTCTAGGGGATGTCTTCGGTGGCTCTATGCTGTTGTAAGACTTGTGCTCTGACCCAGTTCAACATGCTGTGGTCCTGGGCACATTTGTAAATGCTGTACCCGGGAGTAATTAACTCTGGCATGAAGTGTGCTGGAGTTTATTCAGTGAAATTAATGTCATGCATAGTGACGTGAATTTAATCTCACTCAGTGAGAGCGTCTCCAGCATGTCCTTTACAACCTCAGTTCTAGGTGTGGAATGAGGAGCAGGAGTGGGGGGGAGCTGGGTTTATTTTTTTGCAGGAGCTGCAAGTGGCATGGAGCCAGCATAGATACTATACTACCCTGTAATGATTAATCCTTTTCAGAACAAAGGGAATGACTAGATCATTGCAAAGTTTAACAAGGAATTTGAGAGCCTTAAACAAATCTGACTCCCCCCAGACAGAACTGGTAGCACAACTTAATTTCAGAATCACAAAAAAAGGATCCATTTTGTCAGCTGTGGGCCTTTGAATTATAGAAATAATATCAAATTAGGGTTGGAAGGGATCTCAGGAGATTATCTAGTCCAACCCCCTGCTCAGAGCAGGACCATTCCCAACTAGATTATGTCGAGGCAGGGATCATGTCGAGCCAGGCCTTAAACTCCAAGGGTGTTTCTGTACAATACCTTGTTTTAATAGGATTCATGGAAAAACAGATATATGAACATTTATGGTTGCTGACCTGTGTGTTCATATCTGTGGCCTGTAATGGAATCTTCTCATAAACTGTCCTTATTTTAGATTTTATATGTATTTCAATCTTTTGTGATGAAGCTTTTTTTCATGAGTTACATTTTTTTTTTTCTTGGCAAATCTTTTTATCAGTTCAAAATGGATCTTTTTTACTGAACAAATTGAATTGGAGTGCTATTAACAGGTGATTAAATATACTTCCTACTGTTAACTGACATCAAAGAGTGCACTTCAGGGAAAAAAAATAAAAGTTTGAACCACTGGAGCTTTACACCTCCTTGATTCTGAAAACTTAGTCCTCTATGAAGGTGACATTAAATTGCCACTGCTTTTGGAAAAATAGTATCTTTCTAAAAAAAATTGTTAAAAAAGCTTAAACTTACCATAATATCTTAATCAGTCTTTCTTCCCCCACTGCAATCTTCTAGGGAAAAGCTCACCGTGACCAGCAGCTTGTGCTCCTCGAAAAACATCTAGAAAAATATTACAGAAGCCGTAGTCGGAAGTGGATTGTACTGTTTCCAGAAGGTGGCTTCCTTAGGAAAAGGAGGGAAACAAGCCAGGCATTTGCCAAGAAAAACAATTTGCCATTTCTTCAGCATGTCACCCTGCCAAGACTGGGGGCAACGCAAGTTATTTTGAAATCGCTCTTGGGTCAGCAAGAAAATGGAACCCCAGCAGGTGGAGATTCTATGAAAGCAGGTAAGATGATTTTTACAGTCCTATTAAAGTTTAGTCGAGTGTGATATGAATGTGAAATTATTAAACAAAAATTTAAGAATCACAGAGATCTTTTCTAGCCAGGTCATTTACCTGAACATATAAACATAAAATACCTTGAAATGTTAATTGCTTCATTTACTGATCTTATTTTTTTTTATTTTTAATTTTGTCAGTTTTTTTTAGCGTTTTCAATCATCTGTTCTTGGAACTTGAAAGAGATTTACAGCTGTTTTCAATTTTCTGTTAGCTGCTTATACTCTGTACCCACTAGTCGTATTTAAATGCCCAGCTTGACCTGTGTAGATTTATTCCAGAAACCCTTTCTTATAGATGGTTCTTTGGCTTGCAATGCAAGGACTTGCAGGTTTAAATAATGTCACCACTTTGCGTTGTTCACAGGCATTGTAAAGTTGGGAGTTTTATTGTTTGAAGAACAAGCTGTGGCAACTCTGATATACAACTTTCATGATTGAGTTGGACTCCATTAGATATTTCGTTGTTGCAGTTCCCTCTTTGGTAGGTCTTTGAATAGCTTAAAGGAAAAGATGCTATTTGATACATCTGTATCAGATCTCAAACCCTTCCATAGTGAACAAATTCCCAAAATACCAAAAATATCAGATTATCATGGAGATGCTTAGTTGCTCCTAAGTTTCTTGAAGGACCCAAGACATCTCTAGTGGAAAAGCTTGTGGGTGAAGAAACTATACCCTGTAGTCAAATATAAAAGGCTGGTTCTATAGTATTAGCAATAAACCTTGCCCTTCTCTCTCACTCAACATGACATGTTCCTCATCCCTTAGTTCTCTCTCATTTCTAATGATGGTTAGGAAATGAGCTCCTCTTCTGTGAATGGGTTGGTGTGAATAACCACTTGCAACCGCTTTCTGATTAGAGAGATTCTGGGTTGAAAGCCTCCTTCTTTTTTAGGCTTCTCTTCCTGTCTGGTCCATTTTCTTCCCATCTGTGCTGTATTCACAGGAATGCAGAACTCGTGTTCCAAAATGAATGGAACAGACCCTTAAAATCAGACTGATTCACCCATTCCCGTTTAAGAACTAAATTATTAGAGTAATTTCCTTCCTTTTGTGTTTGGGAGTTGAGGTCTAGATTTCAGAAAAACTCTGCCTCCTTCTGCCCCTGGCTGTCATTTACAAGTCTGATTAATGCAGTCTTTTCCCTGTGGGTGCCTGCTGTTTTCCTAGCCACTTCTTGGCTGCAACTAATCATGAAAAGCAAGAGAAGTGCTTTAATCCTGGTACTAAATCTCCCCAACCAATGTAGTACTCCCAGATAAATTAGAGGATACCTACACTATTAGGAGTTGCATTCAAGATGCTGAAAAAAGATAGTACAAATATGTTCCATTTTCTTTTTGAGAGGGTAAAAAAAAGAAAACTGGTAGAAAGATTTTTTTTTTTTTGAAAGCAGTTTGGGTAGGACATTGTACTTCTGTCCTTTTAACCTAGCTTTGCAGAAAATACACTTCAGCCACAAAACAGATATAGCAGAATTATGAACTTATTCTGTCCCTTAGAGGTTTGGCAGATAACACATTGCTTGATCTAGCCTTTAGCAGATCTTAAAACTTTCACAACAGTTTCTGAATATATTATTTGTATGTTCCTTTCTGTTTCTTTATTGCCTCGCATCACATTATTTACTACTAAAGTGATATAGAAGACTTTACTGAAAAAATCAAGTCTGGGTAAATTGATTGATTGGGATGTGCATGTGAATGGGAGTAGACAGTGGAGTGGATTTAACCCATCCCTACCACTATCTGACATCTCTACCATGCTACCAGGCATTTAGGTGCAACTAGTATCTTTACTGGCTGTGAAAGGGGACACGTGAACCAAGAGGGAACCTAGTCTGTAAAGATTTCTGGTGTCTCCCCCACTTCTCCTCCCCCAGTCTTACCTTGTTAGGCATAAAGGCCCATTGGTAAATCATAGGTCCCTCTGAGTTCAGGGAGATGCCCATTTTGGGCTTTTACTTGCACTGAAGGCTGGCTGAAGGTTGCCACAAACTAAGAGTTCCTACAGATTGCCAACATTTAATTCTGATGTCCAGCACCTTTTTATCCTAACTACCTGTGTGATCTAGGGAGGAACATGAAAAATCTCACCAAGCACCAATGAGGAAATTACCTTCCTGATCCAAACAAATGATTGATCAGACCAGCACATCCTAAAAACTATGCTTCCCGTACTACCTTTACAGGGAGGACTCTCCTGTGGCTGGGTGGCACAGGGCTGCTCAAGCTCAACTTCTAGGGCTGGCAGCACAGGACTGTTGTTGTTGTATCCTGGCACCTGACTTCTACAACCAGGTGATGTGGGGCTTCTCCAGCTGGGCTATGAATTATGGAAATTCTACAACCTCTTTAGGTAAATCTTTTTCAATGTTTAACCACCCTTATCACTAGAAAATTCTTCCTAATATCTGACGCACATTTCCCATGTGGCAATTTTAAGCCTGTTACTTGTTGCATGTCCCCTGTGAACACAGGGAACAATTGGTCATCATCCTCTTTATACAACCCTTTTTGTGTTTGAAGACTGTTCTCAAATCCCACCTTTTGCTTAGTCTTTTCTTCTCCAGACTGAATAATACCAGTTCTTCAAGCCTTTTCTCATGCCATGTGTTCTTGGTGTGTTTAGTTAGTTTTGTTTTGTTCAAAACTGTCTCCAGTTGGAACGTGTGTTAGGGTCTTAAAGTATGGTGCCCCAGATGGGCTGAGCAACACTCAATCTGTTTATCAGAGTAGAATGCCAATGCTGAATAGAATGGAAGAGCCATTTCCTGTGATTTGCATGCCGTATTCCTGCTATACCTCCCAATAGGCCTTTGGCTCTTGCCGCTATATTACACTGTTGATTGATTTGATTTGTGATCCACTATACAGGCATACCTCGGAGATATTGTGGGTTTGGTTCCAGACCATCGCAATAAAGCGAGTCGCACGAATGTTTTGGTTTCCTAGTGCATGTAAAAGTTATGTTTACACTATGCTGTAGTCTATTAAGTGTGCAATAGCATTATGTCTAAAAAAAAAAATGTACATACCTTAATTAAAAAAATCTTTATTGCTAAAAAATGCTAACCATCATCTGAGCCTTCAGCAAGTCGTAATCTTTTTGCTGGTGGAGGGTCTTGCCTCGATGTTGATGGCTGCTGACTGATCAGGGTGGTGGTTGCTGAAGGTTGGGGTGGCTGTGGCAATTTCTTAAA